TACGAAGAAAGTTTTACTGAATATCTGGGAAATTTTGAGGATTCATCAGGAATTGGGAATTTCCTGTGCTGGCTCCCAATTTGAAACTAGGACAGACTCAATAGACTTTACTTAGATGCATGAGGTGGACAAAACTAGTGGCCTATGCCGTACTGTAACCAATGAAAATGTAGTATTTACACGAAATGACAATTTTTGTGATACTGCCTGTAGTGCCATCCTTATTGCTGAAACATATGGAAAATGAGGGTTTTAATGCGATTATTATGTGTTCTTATTCTGAATTATTAGGATATGTTTACCTTCTCAAAAAAAAAATTATTAGGATATGTTTCTAGTATAGATAATGTTTAGAAAGGAGATGGATGGCTGAGCAAAGTCGAAAAATTAATGTGAAAAGTCCCCTTTTTGCCTCATGGTATTGACTTGGAAGGAGTGAAGCAAAGAGCTCTCTAGAGTCATTAGAGGTCTGTTTCACTGGCAGGGGCTCAGAACTTGACTTTGATGCAAAGAGGCTACGCCACAATGCATAGATGGCTGTGGTTGATTTTTTGGAGCTCGGAGCCTTTGTTAGCCTGACATAGTGACATACATCAATTTTTTGGCGTGGCACACTGGCAAACTAACTGTCTTTCTTCTGTCAATGCCATAAATGCTAACATGTCAATTTATGGAATGCCTTGTTCCAATTATTTGATACACTTGACAAGTAGCACCTTTTCACTTAACTGCAAGAGATTTGATCATTGATAAGCAACTAAGGATGCATCTTATTTTTGTTTGGCATGGCTGTAAATTTTTTTGATAAATTGTTACATTTTGTTAAATTATCTTATTACTGTAGCTTGCATGTTAAAGTGTGGTCACTGACATAGTACCATTATATGCAGGTGAATGCATTTAGGTCCATGATTCATGACAATATGATGGTGGGTGCTTTCTCGCATTCAACTGCTGTAGGGAAGCTGCGTAAAGACTTACCAGTTGTTCCTGCAGATGCTCGCGTCAATTTCCCACGTTATAGTGTGGATGAAGCTGCATCCGTTTGTCATTACTACCTGAGGTGTGCATATTCCTCATAATACCTAAGGAAGAGTGAATAGCGAGGATTCTGTTGTCACCATTCACTCGCCACATAAATACTGAAGAAAATAGAACTTAAGATTGAACAGGAAAAGGAACAAAAAAACATTTGAATTATTAAATAAGGAAAAGGAAGTGAACAACTGAATTATCCCCCAAAAAGAAGGAAAAGGAATGACCAATTGATTCATCAAAAGGAAAACACAAGCAAAAAAGCAATGGAAGAAGAAGAACCATGTAGTGGTCTGTTTAATAAAAGTTTGAACCATTTCTTTGAAAACGACAAAAGAAAAACGAAGAACTATGGAATGCCAAGAGAAGGAACATAGAGTTATTTTTTAGGATTTATAACTTAGTTGAAGTTCTGCTTCATAAAGCTATCTTATGCTATGTGGCCACAGAACAACACTGTTTTGTACTAACTCTCCTTGTCTAATTTTCTCATTTGACAGACAACGACTCATTCAACGTGAGGCATTTACAGAACAAAGCTGGAAGAAAATCTATTATCTTTCAAATGGAAATGGCGCAGAAATGAGATGGCTGGTTCCTTTCATGCGATGAACCACAAAGAATCGAACTTCAACAGATAACATTGAGATTTTAACAGGAAAGTTATTGCATCTGTTAATGCTCTGTGAATCTGGTCATTCTCAGCAACAAATAATCTGGCTGCTTTCTTGACCAACTCTCTAGAGAAAACGGTGAGGTTTCCTTCTTGAATTTTTGCTCTGTACTCTAGGCTAGTTTAGGCATATACTGCCTGTGTTTGTATGCTTTGATATCTAGAACATAACCACAGATTCATATTATACATCATTACACTGGGCTATTGTTCTTTCCATTTCCTTTTGCTTGTTTTTCTGACCTGGTGTATTTATTCAATAATGTTGTAATTGCACAATACATTAAACCTTTTGAATTTTTAGGTTTTATCCTTAGCAAGGTGGATGCTTTTAGATTTACCGCTGTAAAGATGACAGTTCTTCGATCATGGTTGCCACAATAATGTCTCTTGATATCTGAGAAAATTGTTTGCTCAGATTTTGAAATTTTATGTAGGAAAAGATAACATTGCAACATTGTCATATGAAATTTGTAACATTGAAATAAAAAGGAATGAGGGTTTAATTATCTTTGTTACACTGCCATCCATCTTGTTGAGAGGTTATAGCCAAAATTTCCGTTTGTCAAAAAATACTACAACCAAAGCCACAACAAGGCTAAGCTCAGCAAAACCGGGAAATATGGTTACTCGAAATCTGTTCCTTGGAATGAAATGCTTCCTGAATCCAAGTGTGTACATAAGGCTAGTCTGCATTCAAGTACATGCAGGTTAAAACTCAACATATGACGAACATGAAATAAGAACACAATATGGATCTGTGTATATCCAAAGAATTCAGTCAAAACCTAAACCTTCAAGCACAACAACAGTCACCATAGTTTCCTACATGTATGGATCTACCAGGGAACAACGAATATATGGCAAAATGTCACAACGACCCACAGACAAGATTTTATACTGCAATGTGTGGGATATTAATACCTCAGCTACTATGGAATTGCCTTTGTAGATGGTGCAGGATCTCTTGAAGGCGGAACCTTTCATCTTAAGATCAGCCTCTGCGCCTTCAACATGTCCATCACCAAGGAATATGTCAAACTCTAGTTTAGTAAATGTATTTAGCGTCTTATTCACACTGAACATCAACTCCTTTTCTTCATTATCACTTACCATAAAGCCTTGCCATGATCCTTTCTACAAGACAGGAAAGAAATAACATCTTAAGAAGATAAATATATACATTCTACATTTTTTTACCCCTCCCAACTCCCACCTTTTTGCTCCAACCTTACGTGTTTACCCACCATCTGAGCAACTCCTTCACGTCTACATTCTACATTGTTATCACAAAAGAACCATTTACACATAGAAATGAGCTTTCTTTTAGTAGTTGTTCTTCCTTCCTAAGGTAAACAGCTAAACATTGTCTCAACAAATTAGAATCAGCAACAGAGAAAGATAATGGAACTATACAAATGATAGTATTATCAGATGCATAAAGAAGCAGTTTCTGACTATAAACTTGGGGCTTTTTACCAATTAAGAAAACTTACAATTAATCGAACTAAGCGAATCAGGGTATTGTCCGATGCATCAAGAATTAGTTTTTGAGGGTGGGTCTGGGCTGCCGAATTCTGAGGTTGACGACGACGGTCAACGCTGAAGAACAAATTGCCAACAGAATCGGTAAATTGGATGTTTCCAGCATCCCAGAAGGACTTATACTTCTTCGATACAAAAAGATCAAATGGGAATTGCCCGTCCGGCGGCCATTCCTCCGGCGTAGCAGTGGTTCCCATCAATCAGCTTAAAATTGACGAACTCCGTAAGGATAACTCCACCAAAAGAGACGGAAAATTTTGAAGATGATGGTGGCAATGACTGGAGCTCGCCGGCGTTTTGCTTCGACAAGAATCAAATCAAAAGTCGGACGAATTTAACTTTATAAATTACTTTTGGCAACAAGGGATATTTTGTAGTAGTAATTATAAGCGAATATAGGAGATGGTTAGAAAATATTTCAATTTGATTAATATTAAAGAAATGTGACAATTTGACATAAATTTCATTTCCCCAAAATGCACTTTAATGTACAAAATATTTTGTGTTCCTAGACTTTAAAAAGAGTTGTATCTTAAGGAATATGTCGTAGATAATTTACTCTAATTTAAATATTAGTAATAATTATTTTAATGACTTAAATTAATAAATAAAGATAACTTTATTGTCGTTTTGGGAATTCCTTTGATATTTTCCTTTCTATCACATAATAACAATGGGCAAGAGTCTACAACATAGTATGTTTGGTTATAAAATTTGAAATTTCAATTTTAAGTTTGATTTAAAATCAATGTTCATTTATAAAATTTCCATTTCAATACCAATTTAAATCTCAAATTCAAAAGTAGGATTTTAGATTCAAAATTGTGATTTTAATGATTCATAAATTTATATTTTGTAAAATAAGATCAATCATCCTAAAATTAAAAAAATGTATACTTGATGTAAATATATCATTGTGAAAGAATTATACACCAATGTTTTAACTTAAATAAATGTATACTTGATTTTCTAAAGCAATGTTTTAACTTAAATAAATCAAATAATTTATATTTTGACAGATCATCTTTTTATCCTCATTTTTTTTTTGCTGACTTGATAAAGCCAAAAGTTTTGTAAAAAAAAAATAACACTGACAATCACGATAATTGTACCCGACGGAACGCGCGAAACTTCGCCGTAAAGTTTCTTCCCGGCAATGTCTGCAATTACCGGAAGTTCTTCTCTTCCGTCTAAGGATGATCCGCCCGTCACTGGTAGTTCTGATCGGAAAAGGTTCCGATCTCGTCGTGACGTATTACGTGAGTTTTAGGGCTTTTTCACCGTCAACATTTTGCTATTTTCAGTTTGTTTGGAATCATAAATTTTCAATTGATCCAGTTCTTATGCATCGACAGGGAGCGAAATCAGTGAGAGGCCACTTAAACGACCATTGCTTGATTTTGCGAAGCTTTCAATCTCTGATTCTTCATGCAAAGGTATGTTAATGTTATACAGTAAAGGAACCAAAATTTTCACTAAAAAATTAAAATATATAAAAAAATAAATGAACATGAACATACGAGAACTTTCTCCAGTATTTTCTCAGCTTGAAGACAAAAAAAATTTAATAAATAAATAATTATACATTATAATTTTTCGCTTTACCTATTTATGAAATGTTGAGTAAAATAAATTAAAAAAGGAATTTTCCTAATAATACTTAAAATATGTTAAAGGTAAATAAATTCAATATTTGGGAGTATAATATTAGACAAAAAAAAACATTTATTTCTTTATTTTCCGTAAAATTTGCCACCAGCGTCATATAATATTAATATATTCGAAGTCCCAATTATATAAGTCGAAGTAGCTCGTGAAACACCGCCGCTGACATTCATTCCGGCATCAATGGCTGCAGTCGCAGAGAGTTCTTCTGTTCCGGCAAAGGAAGACAAGCTCGTCGTTGTTAGGGTTAAGAGAAAAACTTTCCAGTCTCGACTTGACGCTTTCTGTAAGTTCTAGGGTTTTTCACAGTCAACCTTTTTGTTATTTTTGGTTTATTTGAAGCTTAACTTTTTAATTATTCCAACTGTTGTGCACCGCCAGGGCTTGAAATCAATGAGAGGCCAGCCAAACGACCATTGCTCGACTTTGCAAAGCTTTCAATCGATGAATCTTCAAGTAGAGGTTTGTTGAATTTTGATGGTTAACACTTTAAAGTTCAGTGTGAGAATTCGGACATTTTTTGAATTTACATAGTATCTAAAAATTACTTTTGTAGTTAAAAAGTAGGTTGAAGTATTAAAACACACTTAAAATATCTCAGTTTTCCGAGGTGCACTATCAAATAGGTTCGAGTTTACTATCACCAAGATTTATAAGAAGACACCTCAACTATCAATTGTATCCTTTTCCTACCTGAACTGTGTTAGTATTTCAGGTAGGGTAAGGGAACAACGGAAAGTTGAAGTGTGTTTTGATAAATAGTTGGTGATATTTCAGGTAGGGAACTCGTACACCTTATAATTAAGACATGAAATTTGAAAAAAAGGGAACTTTAGTTGTGTTTTGACCATTAACTCTAAAAAGTATTCGAAAAATGTTTGATAGAAGTTGTAGAAAAAGACAGCTGGTTGACAGAGGTATAGTTCGTTGGATGTTATTTACATATATGCTCAAATGAGTAATTGGTTATTTTGTGGATTCCAAATCTCTATTGTAGTTCAAGAGCAACAAATGCAGTTCTAAGATTGTAACATGCCAGGTCTTTCTATTTTTGATTTCTGTACTTATGTACTAATAATTATTTTCAGTTGAGGAATTGAAGAGCAGAAAGGTACTTGTGCAACATGTGGAGACAGTAACTAGTTCAGAAGTCACTGTTGATATCGTGAAGTTTTTTGTGGTTAGTTGTAATATAATCTACATTTTTAACTTTCTCATTTACACATCCGATTTTACTACTACTAGTTGCTTCTTTTGCATTGTTCATCTTGTTATTTTGTTGTTGTTATTTTCTTTTCAATCCTGCTTTGATTTCAATTCTTTTGAGCCGAGGGTCTATCGGAAATAACTTTTCTATCTCTCAAAGGTAGGGGTAAGGTGTGCGTACATCCTACCCTCCTGAGACCCACTTATGGGACCTTATTGGGCATGTTGTTGTACTTGTATCCTTGAAGTGTGAGAATTTTGTAGCACTTGTATTATCAAGCCATACTTTTAAAAGGGTTTCTGAGTTGTTCGTGCAATTATTTAACTAGCTTATTTCTCGCCCTGATAGAAGCTACGTGAGTTTTCTAATAGCTGCATTTTATCAGTCGGCTCCAGCAGATTCTTCAGAAGTCGAAGAGAAATCTGATGCTAGGCGAAGTTTTAGGACAGAAAAGGTAAGCTCTTTCTTGGTTTACTTAAGAAGTTTGCATCTACCAGAGCTTCAGCTTAATTATAATTGATGAATGCATGCACTTAATTGATATGTGCAGAAGCAAGATCAACTACTTGCCAAGGCAAAGCAAAAGCAAGAGGTATTACCAGAGTTCCATACCATCAGATCTACTTGTGTAGTAATTCAATATTGTTTTTTCACTGTTACTATTTCATGGATGGATCTTTCCTTTTGTACTAGCTATAATAGCATTTTAGCCACACAGCATGTAATTTGCTATTCTTTTTATTTATTTATTTGTGGAACGCTTGTTTTCCTTTTTGTCTTTTGTAATAATTTCTAGTGAGGTAAGTCATTATGTTGATGGAGAAACATTTATGTCGGAATGAAACAGAATTACTTGAAGTGGTTTGGTGGTCTAATAGGAGAAGTAATAATAATATAATATTTACTGATAAAAAATGAAAAAGAGAGATAATACAAATTTTACATTCTTTTTTCTTATAACCATGGTGTCTAGATTGTGTGCACCTCGACTAATCCCATGGGATACATGCCACTTCCCACCAGCAATGGTACTATTTGCTTTTGAATGTTACAATCAAATAGTGGTTAAGGATGTAATTTGCTTGTTAATACCCAAACGACATTCTTAAATACTGTTTGATTCTAACATTCAGAAAAAAATTGAATACCAAAGGAAGGAAGGATGACAATACTTGAACAGTTGTGATATTGATACAAGGAAACAAAACTATCTATAGGAACAGTTTACATGACATGCATATCTGTCTGAAATAAATAAGCAAGTGAAATATATTATTCATTGTTAGCTGATATATGTGGATTGACCAAGGAAAAAAATAAAGAATGTTGTGAGGGGAAAAATTGATGAAGAAATTTTTTCTGTTAATCACCTTGGTGGAAAATAATCTGAACATTTTTTTAGTATATGATAGTGCGGTCACAAACTTTGTTGCCTACTCTGCAACATATCTTCTGAACTTTTTAAACTCTGCATCTGTAGGTGCTTGTTGCTAAATCTAGCTTATGAAACTGTATTGTTAGTTTAGTGAATTCCACATCTGATTTGCTATTATTATATTATATTCTAGAGGTTTGTGCATGTGATTGAACTCATACATGTATTGGGTTTTGAAGTTTGTGCCGACGGCAGCACTCTTTGCTCTTTTCGTTATTACAATATTATCAAACTTGATTCATTCTATTAACCTTATGGTTTTAAGTGGGTTTTGAATAACCTTAATAGTGGTTTCTTGTATAGTAGATTCACTTATCTTTTCTCATAATTAAATGGTTCAAGGCTTTTTAAGATTTAGCTTATCTTGCTCTTCCCTCCTTTAGGATTTGTCGAAAAATGCCCGGTTTGAGCAAATATGGAAAAGCAGAAAAGAGAAGAGAAAACTAATGCACAATGAAGAGCTGAATGAGATGTGTCGACTATATGATGTTATTCGTGTTGATACTGAAGAAAAAAGCCATGAAGTGCAAGAGGAGTAAGTGTTTTCGTAATTACATGCTAGCTTCATAAGTTACTGTCGCATGTGTTATCTTTTTCCTTCACAAATGAAAAAGAGCTGGTTTTATGACATTAATGCAGATGCAGGACTACCGAGCTGGAAGATCACAAGATGATGTCTCAATATTTGCCTCTTTTACGAGAAGTCATGCCAAGTGCTGCTGAAGAAATTGAGTCAGAGATTCATAATTACGTCTCGAAACAAGGTTCTATATTGCTTCTTCACTTTTCCAGGGATTTGTTTTCAAATTCAATCTCATGATTTGCTGCCCCCCCAGCACAAGGGAATCTCTATAGGCTATAGGTTGCCCTGTGAAGTTTTATCAGCTTGACAAATTTCATTAACTTATTTATGTTCTGAAACAAGATGAAGTGGTAGAAATTCTAGCCTATCATCACTGGCCATTTTAGCCATGTTTCTAGGAAAGGTACTCCAGCTAGAGTTCTGGATTCATTCCTAACCAATAGAATTTTGAATGCTTTCCCTTCCCGAGTCTATGGAAGGGTCACTATTGTGAATTTGGCCAAATGGGCACTGGAGCTTGCTGTCTATTTTCATGTTTATGTGAGTGTATTGAAGGTTATGCTAATTCCTGTGCAGCATCTTCAGATGGTTATGTTTATGACTATTATACTGTTAAGAATGATACCAACCCTGACGAGGATATTGCTAGCCCTTTTCCATTGTAAGGATTCATACAACAATAATTTTCTTCATATCTTTACTTTTCAGCTCTTACTAAAATAGTTGATGCGGTTGTTTTAGGGTACAAGTTGATGAAGATGATGATTACTATGACGGCCCTGATCATTCAGACTACGAATCTGATGATTCCAATGGTCATCTCTCTTGCCTTTCCACTCGGTTTTAGTATCTTTGTTATTTAAGGTACTTTTTTGTTATAAATGGTTTGATATTTGAGTTTTCTTTTTCAGCTGAACATAATCCCTGGAATGATTATCCGGATGAAGAGGAATCTGAAGATGAGGATGAAACCCAGGCATCAAATGACGAATCAGAAGCTTCAAGCAGCACTTCTGAGGAACAATATGGATCTGAAACTGTTGGTGTAATTTCTTTTACAAATGAGGATGTGGGCCGTGAAGACTGGACAGATTATGCAGATCCAATCCTTGAAGGTGATATATATGGTGAGTCCGATGTTGAAGCTTCCGATGATGATGACATATGGTGATCATCATTACAACACCATGTTTAAAATTTCTCATCAGTACCTATATCGTGCATACCTGTATATGTCTTTGCAGATCATAGTTAACCTTGCGTTGTGGGATGACATGTTGTTATGTGTTTTGAACTTTGCTAATTCTGCTATCTGGGGTAGTGGTGAATGGCATGTTGTTATGTCATTGGGCAAAGATCTTTTCCCGAGCTTTCGCGTTTCTAAAACTAATTTTGCCAGTATTGTAAATCTCAGCCGGGTTTCCCTACCTCTAACTGTAGTCGTCTAGTTTAATGATTTATGATTATGTCGTTGTTTTTCTGTGTTGTCCAGCTTGAGTTCTAGTTAAATAGTGTGTGTGGACTCGTTAAATCTTACTCTTCGGGGTCATTTGGTACACAGCATGAGATAGTATCCAATCTGGTACAAATAATTTCGGGATTAGCTAATACCTCTAATCGAAAATTTGGTATTATATCCCATGTACCAAATAACCTGCGTGTATCGTTTGTGCTCTTTCGAGAATTGCTGGTATCAGAGTGCAAACATAGTATACACTTATCAGATTTGATGGAACAAAGGCTGGAAATATGTAATTATTTGTTGGTGGAAACTTCACTAGGTATTTACTCAATTTTATTTTATCATGAGTAAGTCATAAATAAGGTAAAAATATGTGGGAGTACTCTCTTTGTTTTTTTTTTTTTTTTTTTGGTCTGATCTTGACTTGACACACTATTTAAGAAAGTAAAGAAAACGTTTCAACAACATGGTCTTAAATTAAATATTAAATGTGTTATGTGGAAAATTAGAGTTAGATAGTTGAGTGAGTATTAATTAACTCTGGTTTAGTTATTAGAATGATGTGTGAAACATGTCTCTATAACTTTTACTAATTTTGGTCCTTGTCTCTACAATTTATCACATTTAGGTGTCATTTGGTACAAAAATTAATAATGTAGGGATTAGTAATGTATGACGTAATGTGAGGTTTTAATTTTTTATCAAGTGTTTGGTTTACTGTTTTCCATTTAATTTTGTGCTTGAATTAAAATTTTACAAAAAACTTCTTTATAATTATATCCTCGGATCATTATGGAATTTTCTATTATACGTAATTGGATCAAAATAGATGATTATCGGCCAATATTTTTTTTGTGGCCTTCTAACTAGCTAGGGGAAGATTCTCGCCATGTTTGCTATTTTCTCACTTGAATTATTTGAGGGTTAAATTATTGTCATCTTAATAAATTAACCACTCACCATAGATCAATTTTCAATTTTAAAAAGATAGACCATCTACTATTAAAATCGAAACGACAATAAATGATCGTAAAATCGAATAAAATCATATAAATCATCTACGTTTACACATAAAAATTTCAAGTTGTAGCTTTAAGATGTATGCAATTTTATAAATTGTTCAAAATACAAACAATTAGAAAACCACATATATATCAACAAATAATACATTTAATTAAGATTACAAACGTCATGTAGTGATATATTTGTCTTTTTAATTAATAAATGTTAAACAACTTGCATTTCAAATACTATATTGAGTTGTATTGAATTTATTTAGCAACAAACAACTCTCTCTAAATAATAAAATTTGTAAGTTAATTTATTTAAATAAATTTACTAGCACAAATATAAAATATAAAATCATGAAAATAAATAAAATGAAAAAAAGGATTTGAGGGTATTTTGTGTTTACATAGATCAATACCATGACATCAAATCATATATATTCTAGGGTGTACAAAATCGAATACGTAAAAAAATTACTTTGATATAATTTTTAAATATTTTTTATACTTCTTCATAGTTTTTATCTTTTAATATATTATTTCATGTTTGAAAGTTAGAATTCTTAATGTTCCAATAAAGATTATAGTCTATATATATTGGTAATTGTAATAAAGCTTAAATCAAAATCAAATTAATACTAATGCAAAAAGAAAATCAATTCAGCACTAAGAATGACAATAATATTGAATATTTGTTCTTTAGTTTTACATAGGTTTAGACAATTAAAATATATAATCTAATTTTAATTTCCTTTAATATTTAGTCATGTAACTAATACCTATTAAACTTATTTTAGTATGATTTAGTACTTTTAAATTATGATCATTTTCACTATGACTTATTAATTTGCAATATTTGTTCGACGCTATTTCATTATTATTTTTTATTGGATATTTTAGTGTCATTGATCATATCATATTTTGTGTTATTTTTTTTCTTAAGAAACACCTTAGATAGTTGTATTTTGGTAGGACTAAAGAAATATTTGAATTACAAGTAAATTATATGTTTGTATGAATACTTTATCGAAAAAACTCGAAAAATCCGAAAAAATCGGTAAAAGCCCGAGGTTGAAAAACCTGAGTTATATTGGTTTGGTTTATTTAAAAATCTGACACAAATGGATTGGTTTGATATTTGAAAAACCCGAACCAACCCGGCCATGTACACCCCTATGTATTACTAATACCACCAAATAAAAGGTATTAGTTATACATCCTATAATAACACATTGAGTATTTAATTAACAAATCCAAAATTTCTATCAAACATAATACTAAACAATACTATACGTATAATACATAAATTATTTCTCTTAATGTTACCAAACGAATGCTTAACCTTCAAGGTTAAAGAAATGACCATCAAAAGCAAAATTAAATTATATATCAAAGATATAATTACAATTTGCAAACATCACATCAATAACTGGGAGCCGCAGATTTGTCCTCCACACAAAAGATTAATTAGTTAGTGCTGGAAATCATATAACCATGCAATCGATACCTATATCTAATAAGTAGTAGCTACTAGCTAATACTGAAATATAGACTATGGCCACAAGTGAGGGATCTCTGTTTATTTGACGTAAACACTTGATACTGATAAATTTTTATTTTGCCGTTAAGTTAAAAGTTTAATTAATGCAGAGGATGATACCTATAATAAATAAATAGTAGCCACTATCTGATAAAGAAATATAGACTATGGCCACAAGTAAGAAATTTTAGTCTGTTTATTTGATGTAAACACATGATACTGATAATTTCTTATCTTACCGTTAACTTAAAATTTAATACGGAGGATGATAAACAGACACTTCTCAATTTTTAATCATTGATAGGTAATTTAAATAAAATCTTGGGAGTCCCAAAAAGTCTAGGATGAGATTCCACTTTGCAGTTACTTTGAACTTGGAGGAAATTCGGTTTAATTTAAATTCTGGAAAAATCTAGAAATATTCATTCACATATACTATAGGTTAGGTCTAGCAATTAAAGGACCATTTACTTTGGGAGTAATTATATTTTGATGACTCATACCATATAACCAATAAAATCAATACTGACAAAGCTAACATAGGTTCACAGATCAACTATTTAACAAGATAAGTCCTTAGTTGGTTTCGCTTGGTCTCACTCACTACCAGCTATGACTAAAGTTTCATTAAAAAGTTTTTTCATGTGGTAGAACGTAGTGGATTTATACTACTACAAGAAAAAAGATATGCAACCAAGGTTATAATTTGGTGACCAATAAAATAAGTTGAGAATCCATGAGCTACATTTCCGATTCATATCTCATCAAAGGCAAGAAATTACATAAAGCAATTTTTTTCTCGTTTTAACCTTGATAAACAAAATTACATGATAACAACAAGGGAGAAAAAAAAGCACAAAAGCTATACGAAATAATTAGGTGAGCATGACAGAAGAGACATGAATTGATTGAATGAAAGATGAGATATTGGATAGTGATTATAAAATAAGTATAGATTTGAATGATCATGTTACTTCCGTCATTGTACTATTTGTTATTTATCATTTTTTTTCTGCGTTAGTTTCTATTGTTTCTTCGATATTATTGTATTTTCTTTTTGAGTTCAGTGTTTGTATCAAAAATTAAATAACTTTCTATTTTTACAAAGTAGGTGTAAGATTGTGTACACCCCAGCTTTCTTAGACTCTACTTAAAGAATTACAACCGAATATATTATTGTTGAACGATCATATTACTATTTATGTTGGTGCATGCCACCCTTTTCACACAAGTAACAAATACAACTTGCCATGTTGTTGTAAACATCCTTGAAAATTTCTAAACAAGAAAGTTTTATGTCAAACAAACATGAAATAGATAAAGGGGTATTGGAATATATCTATAAGTATCGAAAACTACAGAAAACAATAATTAATACGAAACAAATATCATGCCAAAGTGCCATATATAGATATAAACATAATTATTTTTATTAGTATTAGAAATAAAAAAAAATTATGTGAGCCTAATTATGAAGTTAAAGAGTCCAACACTCTTAATTCACTTAGTTACTTAACCAAACTGCAAACCAGATTTTGCCCTCTTTGATGTTACGTTTACAACAAATTTTATACTCAAAATATTCTGTTTTAGCATATTTTACAGCCGCAAATATTATTTCAAAAATTTTAATTTTCTTACTTTTAAAATACACACAATTATAATGAGCCTTTAATGCCTCCTAAACCTTAAGTGGTGGTTCCTAACTATACACATCTTCTATTTCTCATGCCACCACAATTTTCTTTTCCATAACAGCAATGTTCAAATCAACTTAGGTATATAGTACACGTTTATTGTTTCATTGAGTATTTATTATTTTTCACTAGAATATGTGAAATCAAGTCTTTTTAAGTTAATAATATGTACATATTTGATGATTTTTTTAGATTAAAAAAATTGCATCAAAATTATTAGATTTGATTGAGCACCTAATCGAAGCTATAGCTCCGACTCTAAAGACATGTATATTGTAATTCTGACCATCAATGCTTATACAAATAAAAGAAATTATCTACCTTATTTTGATATGTGCTTATCTTTCAAACTTTCATAATTTTCTCCCGTTTTGTTAACTACTTAATCAGACCTTTGAGTTTCTCTTGAAAAAAGCGCACAAAATCAAAAATTTGACACGAGGAATAAAAATATGTGAAAATGCAATAGTTGCAATACAAAGGTGCGATCGAAAGCAGTTTTGAGTCATTTTTTTTCCCACTACACTAGCAAAATTCTTAATATAAAAGGATTGAACAATTTATCTCACACACACTAATTCCTCGTTATGTGTGAGGTTTAGAAAAAGATCGAACCATCATAATTTAGTGTATGCAATCTTATTTTTCATTTTGTAAAAGACTATTTTATTAGCTCAAATCCATAACCTCCTAATCACATATATGCCAATCATTTTACCAATTACAAGAAATTGCTCCCTTCAGTTTGTCATGCATATGCAAAATTAATAAAAATATGT